GAGGGTGCGGGGGCCGGGGCGTGGTGGGGGGGGTCAGCGTCGGTTTCGGGCGCGGAATTGTCGAGTGGGGGGTCTCAAGAACAGAGCTTCCAGGAGGGTGCGGGGTCGGACGTGGTGGGGCGTGGTGGCGGGCCAGGGTCGGTTTTGGGCGTGGAATTGTCGGGTGGGTGGTCCCAAGAACAGGCTTCCAGGAGGGTGCGGGGGTCGGAAGTGGTGGGGGTGTGGTGGTGGAGGTCAGGGTCGGTCCTGGGCGCGGAATTGTCGGGTGGGGGGGTCCCGAGAACAGAGCTTCCAGGAGGGTGCGGGGTCGGACGTGGTGGGGGCGTGGTGGGGCGTGTGGGGGTCAGGGTCGGTTTTGGGGGTCCCAAGAACAGAGCTTCCAGGAGGGCGCGGGGGTCGGACGTGGTGGAGGCGTGGTGGTGGGGGCAGGGTCGGTTCTGGGCGCGGAATTGTCGGGTGGGGGTCCCAAGAACAGAGTTTCCAGGAGGGTGCGGGGGTCGGAAGTGGTGGGGGTGTGGTGGTGGGGGCAGGGTCTGTTCTGGGCGCGGAATTGTCGGGTGGGGGGTCCCGAGAAATGAGTCCCCAGGAGGGTGCGGGGGCCGGGGCGTGGTGAGGGCGCGGTGGGGGGCGTTGGTCGGTTTTAGAGGACGACATGTCGTGTCGGGGGTCCCAAAAAACAGAGCTCGCGTGGGGTGCGGATGCCGCGGCGTGGTGGGGGCGCGGTTGGGGCCGTTGGTCGATTTTGGGCGAGACATTGTCGTGTGGGGGGTCCCAAGAACAGGGTTCGCGTGAGGTGAGGATGCCGGGGCGTGGTGAGGGCGCGGTGGGGGGCGTTGGTCGGTTTTGGGCGGAGGAGCGGAGGGGCGGAGGGGCGGCGGGGCGCGGATATTGTGTGGTGGGGGGGACTCAAACATAGAAATCCAGAAGGTGGGGATGCTGGGCCCAGGTCGAGGGGGAGGGTCCGAGACATCTCTCGCAAATTGGAGGTAGCGGCATAATTAGCTCAAAAGTCTCCGGCGTGGTGTCTCTAACACAGCCCTTCATCGCACACGCTTTTGGGGTCGGCGGATTTTGTAACATTCATTGTATGATAGTTTCGGGTGACGGCGGGTTGGGACAGAGGCCATTTGGAACCTCTTGGAAAGGGCCAAGAATAGCAAGTCTGGCACGCCATCACCCCTCGCCCGTCCGTTCTCGTGCCTCCTTTCTCTTCGCCGCCTCCTCTAGAAGAGTGTATCCAAGCCGCCAGCATGAGGTTACAACAGACGGGATCTGGAGCCCGATTCTCTCCATCTCGACGTCGCCGTTGCATCGCGGATGCATAGACGATGCGATGCGATACGATCTTCGACGCCTGCTCTGACCCCGCTTGGGAGGATTACACTGTATGTTGTCGTGTTGCCAGGCGCGCCGCCGCAGTGATTTCGCCAGTGCTGCGGAGTAGGCAAAAGACACCTTGGCCAGAATTCTCTACATCTTGCAGCGCATGCCCTCCTTCTTTCGCACTCGTCCTCTTGTAATGATCTTCGCGGCTCTGTGGCCTCCTCCCTCCTCGAGTCTTCCGGTCTTCTTTCTTCTCCTCTGGGGGGGTGCTTGGAGCGGTCCCGGGGGGGGTCCGGGGAGGGTTCCGAGGGGAGGGTCCTGGGGGCGGTAGCGGCTAGATCTGAGGGGGGTCCTATGAGACCCCCGAAACATTTGGGTTTGCGCAAATCATTAAGCAAACGCCATATGGGCATCTTGCAGCGCATGCACTCCCTCCTTCGCACTCCTCCTATTCCCGTCCTCGTTGGCAGGGCTTGAGGTCGCGCGCATGCAGCTCCCTAGTCTTGCCACCCCTCGTCGCCGTCCTCCTCCGTCTCCTTCTGGTCGACCCCGCACGGGCCGATCGTCGCCCAGGCCGCGTGGCCATCCTGGCCCACCGATGCTCCCTCTCCTCCTCCTTTTCCTGCTCCTCCTCCTCCTCATCCTGCTCCTCCTCCTCCCCCTCCTCCTCCTCCTCCTTCTCCTCCCTCTCCTCCTCCTTCTCCTCCTCCTCGTCGTCCTCCTCCTCGTCCTCGTCCTTCTCCCTCTCCCCCCCTTCCTCCCCCTCTCTCTCACCCCTCCCCCCGCCCTCGCCAAGGGGGGACGTTCGAGGCGTTTTGGGGTTCTAGGTTCAGGGAATTAGAGACACGGTTCCAGAGAAACCTACGGTCCACGGCAGTTGAAGCCATCAGGATAGACCGCTGTGTTTGGCGCAACATGTTCAGCATGCCAAGCCGCGCTTCGCAGCTATGTCTCCTGGGGGTTCCAGTCTGAGGGTTCGTCGTAGACAGAGGGGTGCCACCGGTTTCGTCGAGCGTGGGTTTTTGCGTCCTCGGGGTTTCGCCTGGGCCAGTGGCGTTTTTCAGCCACGTTCAGTGGGGGTCGGGGGAGGGGGGGGACGATTTTTTAGAAGCAACCTGCTCCTTAGAAGGTTCGGGCCTTCTCTACAAATGTAGGACAGGCGCCTTCGAAGAAACAGCCTCCTTCCAAGAGGCCTCCCCCCTCTGCCCCCACCCCTTTTCGGGGGTGGCTGAAGGTGCCCCTGGCCCACGGTGCCCCCAGCTCTTCGCTCCACTTTGGAGCCCCTGAGGCCCCCTGGGCCTCGTGAAGGGTACTCTGGAGGCCGTGGGGGCCTCCTTGGACATCCTGGGGGCACCTTGGCCCAGGGGCACTTCTGGCAGCGCCCGACTTTGTGCGCGCCGCCCAGCGGCGTCCCCCCCCCCCCCCGTTTGCCCCGTGCTTGGGGTGTTGGTGGGGGGGGCGGGGGGCTCGGGCGCAGGGGGCCCCGTGTCCTCCGCCACCGCCCCCCCGCCGTGAGGCTCCTGCAGCAACTTAAGGCTGCCCTGAAGTCGGGCCTGTCGCTCCACAGGAGGAATGATAAGACATAGTCGCACAACAAGATACTCAGGGGACGATTGATTTCTTTGTTACCATTTTTGAACTTTGCTGTTTGGTGGGTATTTTGATTGAATTTTAAATTTTTCTTTCAAAATCTGTCTGTAGGGGGACATGCCCGACCTAAGGCTGGCCCCAATGCGCAAGCGCAGGTCGCATGAGACCCGATCGAGTTTGTTTAAGAAGAAGGAAATAAGTACCCATACTGCTACCCTTTCCTCATTTTTCTGTTTTGCCTCCTGGGGAGGCCCTCGCCGCCACCGCTGGCTTCGCCATGCAATTCTGGTGAGAACGCACCCTGGGAGAAGTTCTGGGAGTAGCATTGTCGGTGCCTTAGTTTCCCCAGTGTGGGTCGCATTTTGGCCACTCGGGGATCCGTGCCGGCCCTTCCCGTGAGGAGGAGCTGGAGGAGGAGGAGGAGGAGGAGGCGGAGGAGGGAGGAGGAGGAGGAGGACGAGGAGGGAGGAGGATGAGGAGACGCACGATATTAACGAGCCAGAGGAGGAGGAAGTGATGTAGAAAGGGGAGGAGGGCGAGGAGGAGCAGGAGGAGGATGAGGATCAGCATCAACGAGATTGCAACACACCCTCCCGTCCCCAGTCCCCTTCTCACAAGGCCGTGCAGTCCTTTTTTGCACCGCCGGAGGCGCCCCGAGGAAAAACAAGCGCCTCATAGGCCTTCCAGTCAGGCGAAAGCCCCGTTTTGAAGAGGAACTGTTAGTCGGGGACGTCCCTCTACAGAAGGAATCATAGTATGGGAACGATTGTTCTAGTATGTTTTTTTTTACCGATTGTTCTAGTGTGTTGTTTTAGTATGTTTGAATATTATTCGACTTCTGAATGTTTCTTCCGAAGACCGCCTGGCCTGTAGGAGGACATGCCCGACCTAACAGGAATTGCCTTGCCCCCTCCTCCAATGATGCGGAGTGCGAAGAGGTATCGAAGACGCCTGCGGCGAATGACCGCCGCCCCCTGCCTTTCAGCATGGGTCTATGTGGCCAAACGTGTGGGCAGCTATTGCACCATGCGCTCTCCCAGCCGTTGTGGAAGCCCTCCGGGGAACACGTGGGGGAGGAGGAGGATGAGGAGAGGGAGGAAAGAAGGAGGAGGATGAGGAGAAGGACGAGGAGACCCCTTGGGAGCTTCTTGGGTCATTCTTGAGGCCTCCTGGGAGCTTCCTGGGGGCCTCTTGGAGGCCTCTTGGGGGCCTCATTGGGTCTCTTGGAGGCATTTCGGGGCTTGTGTGGAATATATTTGGCAGGCATACGGCGATCCTGGCCCTTCGGAAGCCGTCGGAAGCCGTCTTGAGAGCCTCTATGGGCCGTCTTGGGGCCCGCTTGGGGTGCTTCAGGGCTGTCTTGAAGGCCACCTTGGGCGTCATGAAGGCCTATTGAACATCTTGGGCCGTCCTGGCGCCATCTTGGAGGCCTTTTAGGCTATCTTGGGGCAATCGTGGGAGCCTATTGGGCCGTCTCGGGCCGTCGAAAGGCAGCTTTGACGCAACTGCCAACATCAATCAAACACCGAAGGACAACCAATGATTTTAACCTCGTCGGGCCCTCCTGGAGAACCTCTTGGAGGCCCCAGGCCATCCCCTTCTCCGCAGTCCAGATTCGAGGTCACGAGACCGTTCAATGCCGCACACTCCGTTGATTTGTCGCTCCACATTGTTACTAGTGGCGTTCCAGGACGTTTTGCTCTGGGGCACGTGTGAACAGAAGTTGTCACGAAAGCGGATTGAAGGTGGAGCAACATTGGAACGTTACAGGAACGAATTGGGAACGACATCAGAACGTCCCACCGTTGAGAAAGACGAAGATAACACGAAATCGCAACGAGCACGCATAATCCATACACATACGTGTATATATATATATATATATAAATAAATAAATAAATAAATAAATAAATACACACACACACATACACACAAAAACACACGAGTTCTCGGACACCTCCTCCGACTCCTTCCAGTTCGTCCCATGGCCCGCCCCTGGGCCTCGCGCGTGCCTCGGGCCGTGCTGCGGCCACCCCCTCCTCGTGGACGCTCCCCTCCTCAGCCACGCTGCGGCCGCGGTCTGCCAGGACCTCGCTGACGTCCTCACGGAGGCGTGCGCGGGGGTCGTCGCCGCAAGCGGCAGCAGCACCCCGGTCGTCAGCTTCGCGCACGAGGAGGGCGGGCGCAGAGGGGGCCCGCCCCGCCGGGCGGGCCAGGACAGAGCTGCCCTCCTTTTGGGGAGGGCGAGGCCTCCGAAGTCGGCTCGAAGCTGATGGGGTCGGCGGGTCCCGCCGCATCGCCGATGCATCGGCGATGCAGCTTGATGAGGAGCCCTGCTTTCTCGACGCTGGCGTCGCGGATGCATCGTCGCCGACGGCGATGCCGCGCGATCCGCCGAGCCCATGGACTCGGACCCTGCGATCCGCCGTGCGCACCTGTATTTCCGAGGGCGCCCGTGGAGGCATGGTTGAGCAGAAGTTTCTCGTCGCAACGGCTGGACACGCCTCTCGAGAAACGGGTCGGGAACCGATCCTGAGCGGATTTGGGCTTGGCGTGAAAACCGCCGGTGTCTCCATTGGCCGTCCTCCGGGTATTGAGAAGAACACGGCGTCAGATGGCGCGCTCCAGAAATCTAGGCCTCCCAGATGGGATCGGAGTAGATGGGGTCGGAGGATCGCGCCGCATATCCAATGCATCGCCGATGCGGCTCGATGTGGATCACGATTTGCTTCACGTCGACGTTGCGGATGCATTGCCGACGTCGACGACGCATCGCCGGTGCATCGCCGATGTATCGGCGAGGCTGCGCGATTCTCCGACACCATTTATTCCGACCCCATCCAGGCGGCCTCTAAGAAAGGTCCTTGCCCCGAGGATCGAAGGAGTTGGCATAGCGTCCTCGGCGGCGGCGGAAAGCCAGCATCAGCCAGCGGAAGAAAAACAATAATTTTCAGGACGACGACGACCGCAATGACGACAACAATTTCCAAGACGACGACGACCGCAAGGACGACCTCGACGACGACGACGACGACGACGATGACAGCGCCGGCGACGACGACGACGACAACGAAGTCGACGACGACGACGATGACGACGACGACGACGAAGTCGACGACGGCGGTGGCGGCGACGACGACGACGACTTTGGAAGAGGCGCTCTGCTCGGGAGGCAGCAGCGAGGACCACCGGAGCGCTCCACCCCTCCCCCCAGGCCGGTTCGCCATCGTGGGCCACACAGGCTGTGTGGCCCACGATGGCGAACCCTGCTGTCAGCAGGGCTGAACCTAAACGGTGTTTTTCATTTCGGTTTGTTTTGTTCCCCACATGTTTCGTGGGGTTATGGTTTTCTTCCCTGCCGCGCCGCACCCGCGACACTCACACACACACACACACCTCACTCTTCGTACAGCACAGCACAGCACAGCACAGCTCAGCTCAGCTCAGCTCAGCACAGCACACAGCTCAGCTCAGCACGCAGCACAGCTCAGCTCAGCACAGCACAGCACAGCTCAGCTCAGCACAGCACAGCTCGGCTCAGCTCAGCACAGCTCAGCACAGCCCAGCACGGCTCAGCTCAGCACGGCACAGCACAGCTCGTGGCACTTTCTCGACACCGAAGGGGGTGGTCCCTGAGCTCGGCCGCTATGCACGACGGTCGTCCAGGCCCAGCAGGCGTGGCACTTTCGACACCACAGGGGGTGCGCAGGGTGTGGTCCCTGAGCGCGGCCGCTATGCACGACGGTCGTCCAAGCACAGCAGGCGTGGCACTTCCTCGACACCACAGGGGGTGCGCAGGGGGTGGTCCCTGAGCTCGGCCGCTATGCACGACGGTCGTCCAGGCATAGCAGGCGTGGCACTTTCTCGACACCACAGGGGGTGCGCAGGGGGTGGTCCCTGAGCTCGGCCGCTATGCACGACGGTCGTCCAGGCACAGCAGGCGTGGCACTTTCTCGACACCACAGGGGTGCGCAGGGGGTGGTCCCTGAGCGCGGCCGCTATGCACGACGGTCGTCCAGGCATAGCAGGCGTGGCACTTTCTCGACACCACAGGGGGTGCGCAGGGGGTGGTCCCTGAGCGCGGCCGCTATGCACGACGGTCGTCCAGGCATAGCAGGCGTGGCACTTTCTCGACACCACAGGGGGTGCGCAGGGGGTGGTCCCTGAGCGCGGCCGCTACGCACGACGGTCGTCCAGGCACAGCAGGCGTGGCACTTTCTCGACACCATAGGGGGTGCGCAGGCGGTGGTCCCTGAGCTCGGCCGCTATGCGCGACGGTCGTCCAAGCACAGCAGGCGTGGCACTTCCTCGACACCACAGGGGGTGCGCAGGGGGTGGTCCCTGAGCGCGGCCGCTATGCACGACGGTCGCCCAGGCACAGCAGGCGTGGCACTTTCTCGACACCATAGGGGGTGCGCAGGGGTGGTCCCTGAGCTCGGCCGCTACGCACGACGGTCGCCCAGGCACAGCAGCGTGGCACGACACCATGGGGGTGCGCAGGGGGTGGTCCCTGAGCTCGCCGCTATGGAAGACGGTCGTCCAAGCGCAGCAGGCGTGGCACTTTCTCGACACCACAGGGGGTGCGCAGGGGGTGGTCCCTGAGCGCGGCCGCTATGCACGACGGTCGTCCAGGCACAGCAGGCGTGGCATCTTCTCGACACCACAGGGGGTGCGCAGGGGGCGGTCCCTGAGCGCGGCCGCTATGCACGACGGTCGTCCAGGCACAGCAGGCGTGGCACTTTCTCGACACCACAGGGGGTGCGCAGGGGGTGGTCCCTGAGCTCGGCCGCTATGCACGACGGTCGTCCAGGCACAGCAGGCGTGGCACTTTCTCGACACCATAGGGGGTGTGCAGGCGGTGGTCCCTGAGCTCGGCCGCTATGCGCGACGGTCGTCCAGGCACAGCAGGCGTGGCATTTTCTCGACAGCATAAGGGGGTGTGCAGGGGGGGGTCCCTGAGCTCGCCGCTATGCACGACGGTCGCCCAGGCACAGCAGGCGTGGCATTTTCTCGACACCACAGGGGGTGCGCAGGGGGTGGTCCCTGAGCGCGGCCGCTATGCACGACGGTCGTCCAGGCACAGCAGGCGTGGCATTTTCTCGACACCATAGGGGGTGCGCAGGGGGTGGTCCCTGAGCTCGGCCGCTATGCACGACGGTCGTCCAGGCACAGCAGGCGTGGCACTTTCTCGACACCAAAGGGGGTGCGCAGGGGTGGTCCCTGAGCTCGGCCGCTATGCGCGACGGTCGTCCAGGCACAGCAGGCGTGGCACTTTCTCGACACCATAGGGGGTGCGCAGGGGGTGGTCCCTGAGCGCGGCCGCTATGCGCGACGGTCGTCCAGGCACAGCAGGCGTGGCACTTTCTCGACACCATAGGGGGTGCGCAGGGGGTGGTCCCTGAGCTCGGCCGCTATGCACGACGGTCGTCCAGGCACAGCAGGCGTGGCACTTTCTCGACACCACAGGGGGTGCGCAGGGGGTGGTCCCTGAGCGCGGCCGCTACGCACGACGGTCGTCCAGGCACAGCAGGCGTGGCATTTCTCGACACCACAGGGGGTGCGCAGGGGGTGGTCCCTGAGCGCGGCCGCTATGCACGACAGTCGTCCAGGCACAGCAGGCGTGGCACTTTCTCGACACCATAGGGGGTGTGCAGCCGGTGGTCCCTGAGCTCGGTCGCTATGCACGACGGTCGTCCAGGCCCAGCAGGCGTGGCACTTTCTCGACACCACAGGGGGTGCGCAGGGGGTGGTCCCTGAGCGCGGCCGCTATGCACGACGGTCGTCCAGGCACAGCAGGCGTGGCACTTCCTCGACACCACAGGGGGTGCGCAGGGGTGGCCCTGAGCGCGGCCGCTATGCACGACGGTCGTCCAGGCATAGCAGGCGTGGCACTTTCTCGACACCATAGGGGGTGCGCAGGGGGTGGTCCCTGAGCTCGCCGCTATGGAAGACGGTCGTCCAGGCACAGCAGGCGTGGCACTTTCTCGACACCACAGGGGGTGCGCAGGGGGTGGTCCCTGAGCTCGGTCGATATGCACGACGGTCGTCCAGGCATAGCAGGCGTGGCACTTTCCCGACACCAGAGGAGGTGCGCAGGGGGTGGTGCCTGAGCTCGGCCGCTATGCACGACGGTCGTCCAAACACAGCAGGCGTGGCACTTTCTCGACACCACAGGGGGTGCGCAGGGGGTGGTCCCTGAGCTCGGTCGCTATGCACGACGGTCGTCCAGGCATAGCAGGCGTGGCACTTTCCCGACACCAGAGGAGGTGCGCAGGGGGTGGTGCCTGAGCTCGGCCGCTATGCACGACGGTCGTCCAGGCATAACAGGCGTGACATTTTCTCGACACCAGGGGGGGTGCGCAGGGGGTGGTCCCTGAGCGCGGCCGCTATCCACGACAGTGTCGCAAAGCCTAGCAGGCGTGGCACTTTCTCGACACCAGAGGGGGTGCGCTGGGGGTGGGGGCCCTATGCGCTGCATGCTCCCAGGGCGTGGCAGGCGTGGCATGTCCTCGACGCCACAGGGGGTGCGCTGGGAGGTAGGAGGAGGAGGTAGAGGAGGAGGAGGGGGAGGAGGAGGAGGAGGAGGAGGAGAAGGAAAAGGAGGAGGAGGAGGAGGAGGAGGAGGAGGAGGAGGACGGGGAGGTGGGGCAACAGCAGCGGCAGCAGCAGCGGCAGCAGTAGCAGCAGACGCAGCAGCAGCAGCAGAAGCAGCAGCAACAGACGCAGCAGCAGGAGGACACCGAGGAGGAGAAGGAGGAGGAGCAGCAGAAGCACCGATGGCACACATGGGACATAACATGGGTATGTGGGGTTCCTCGGTAGCGTAATTTTCGTTGTCCCTCGTTTTGTCTTCGATCCGCCTGTAACGCAAAACGAAATCGAAACGAAAACGGCCCACGAGATCGCCAAAACACCGTTTAGGTCCACCCCTGCCACCCATGATCGAGGGTACCAGAGCGGTGCGGTGGCCACACCGTCGGCGGAGTCGCCGCACGGTTTCGGATTCTCGCAGGGCCTCGGGGTGTCTCTGAGGTCACCGCTCCGTCGTGGGATCCCGAACCCCAGAGATCTGGTGTGTTGATGTTGATTTGTTCAACGCGTGGTCCCTGGAGATCCCGACCCTTCCCTCAGGGCCAGCTTTGCGTCCCGAGTCGTTTTTGACGGCCCATGGCTTGGAGAGGGTCCTCAGAGGCCGAAGACAAAAGAGTTCATGCACTGTATTATTCAACATGTTGGAGGTTTGGGAATCCCCCCCGATGAGATTGTTTCTCATTGTTCGTTACCCTCTGGAGCGTAACGGTCGTCTCCCAGGCCACCTCCCCCCCCATGTCACGGTAATGATCGTACGTGGGGGGGGGGTTGGACCCCCCAAAAATGTTTGTGTTTGCGCTCATGGCTATGGCGATCGCAGCGCACCCCCGCCCCGACGTGTCCCATCCTGCCCAAGCGTTACCGCTACTTGGGGCCGCCCTACCCCCTGGGTAACGACCGTCACTGGGAATAACTTTACCCGAGACGTACTCAATTATTTCTCCAAGCGAGGCGACTCTTCATATGAAAGCTCCATACAAGAGAACACATTGCGAGATATGCAGCGGTCTGAAAGTATTCGCCAAACAATGTCGGGTCACGCTCGTCGCACACCCGCGCAACGAAGATCGCGAAAGCAACGGCGACGACAAGTACGATACGGAACATAGACCGGGGGCAGAACCGGAGGATGAGGAGGAAGAGGGGGGAGGACGACAAGGAGGATGGAGATGGAAAGGGAAAACATATTGGTGAGGGTGACAGCGCCATGCGCCACATCTGCTCGGTTCGTGCCTGCTGCTGCTGCGGGCGACATGCACCTGAGGTGGGGCTGGTGGGCCACTGAGGACAGCGCGAGGCTCGACGTGACGCTCCAGCGCTCTGCGCTCTGTGATGCAACGGCGCCGCGCGCTGAACGACGGAACGGCGCCACGCGCCATATCTGGGCACGCACCACTTGGGCGGCCGACAGTTGCGAAGTTGCGCAGCTCGCAGACCCCAGCGGAATCGCGAGGTTTCGAATGATCTGCGTTGCCTTCGACTCCGCCATGCTTTTAAGACAAACGCGAACGTGGCGACGGTTGCGCAGCTCGCAATCCTCCGACGGAGTCGCGAGATCCCGGCTGGAACCATTCTGGAATCCGCCATGCTTTTGCAGCCCTGGACGCAGCTCGCCGTGCCTCCCAGGAATTCGCGAGAATGGCGACACGTGAGCAGTTCGCAGCCCCCGAGGGGGCCGCGAGGTCTCAAATGATTCGCGGTACCGTACGTCCCAGTTGCACACGAACATATACAATAATTTGACAGTTTTGCAGCCCGCGACGGAACCTCGAGGTCTCCAGTGATCACCGCTGACGTCAGCTCCCCCGTGCCTTCCAGGAACCCACGAACGTGGCGACAGTTGCGCACTTCGCAACCCCCATTGGAGACGCGACGTGTCACATGAACTGCGTTGCCTTCGGCCCCGCAGTGCCCCCCCGCAAACCTGCGAACTTAGCGACAGTTGCGCAGCTCGCAAACCACAAAAGAGCCGCGAGGTCCTCACCTCCGCCGTGCTTCCCCTCAACCCACGAAAGTGTTACAAGTTGCGCGGTTCGCAGCCCCCGACGGAAACGCGAGGTTTGCATTATTGTGCGCTGCCGTCAACCTCCGCCGTGCGTCCCAAGAACCCACGATCGTGGCAATTGTCGCGCAGTCAGTAGACCCCAGCGGGGCCGTGGGGTGTCAAATGATTTGCGCTGCCCTCACCCCCGCCGTGCCTCCCAGAAACCACGACACTGGCGACAGTTGCGCAGTTCGCAGCCCCAAGAGAACGGGCAAGACGCATGAGGACGCACAGTGCGCAGGAGGACGTCGGCGGAGGCGGCGGCGGGGAGGTTGCGCGAACACGGGTCTAGTCAAAACGAGCACCCAGCACAGGCGTGTTGTAAAACACAATTTCGACTTTGCCCACGGCGCGAGGGGCGTCTTTCGACCTCCTTTGGACTCCTCGGGGGATGGGCAGGGGCTGCCTGGCTTCGGCGCCTTCCTGTCGGCCGGCAGCGCCACGTGGTGGCAGGGCTGGTTGCGCCCAGGCGCCCCGCCCCCTTTTTTTCGATCGGGCAGCGCCAAGGAGGGTCACCACTACGGTCAAGTTCTCCATTGCCACAAACTACCAGTGGGCGACGGCGTCGCCTCCAAATACCCTGAATGCGACATGCTGAAAGTGGTGATGTTTCCATTGGCGATGGCGCGTTGGGTGCACTACCGATTGTCCTGGGTGCGCTATCGACAGTTGGCATATGGTTGGGATGAGAATCGCTCGCCAACGGAATCTTTCTTTTCGCATCTCTTAGAGTGGCAGTGGCGAGGCACATAATTGCCACGCGGAACCACATACGGAAACATACGCAAGCAGAAGTCGGGGGGTCACTGGTCCCTTTTGGAAACCGGCGTTCCAGGCTCGAAGGTCGAGGAGGTTCTTGGACGTTCTGGGTAGTGCTGGAAGGCTCTGGAGTGTTCTTGGGGGGTCTCTTCCATAGAGGCAATGGCGCTTCCTCGAGGAAGTGGCGACAACCCTCCGTGGTGACCCCCTTTGGCACTGCCCCTAGGATACAATTCCAATTCAGCATTGGTGCTGGCATATCTGTGGCCGAAACACTGGCCCGATCCGGCGCACTGCCGTGCAATTATGCTTGGCCCCCACAATTCGGTTCATTCCCCTCCCAATCTGGTCCGATTTGGCCGAGTGGCCCCCCCTGGTCGAGCTCCATCGCCCTTCAACTTTCTTACGAACACCCGCCCTGAGTTGCTTCCCAGCCCTACCTCCAGAGCTTGCTGCCGCCCGCCGCGACTGCGCCGCTGCCTCCTCCCCTTTCTCCGGGCGCCGCCAGAGCTCGTCCCTGGCCCAGGGTGCTCCCTAGAACTCCAAGGAGACCCCCACGGTCTCCAGGGCTGATGGGCCTGTTTTCCACCACCACCACCATAAGTTGGAGGGGGGAAGGAGGTGGAGGAGGAGGAGGAGGAGGAGGAGGAGGAGGAGGAGGAGGAGGAGGAGGACTCCCTCCCCCTCCAACTGATGGTGGTAGTGGTGGAAAACAGGCCCATCAAGGGCACCCCATCTGGAGGCCCCAGGGGCTCCAAGGCGGACGGGGGTAAGCTGGGGGCGCGTCGGGCCGGGGACACGCTTAGCGACCCCCGGCTCTTCCCACCTTCTTCGTCGTCGCCGTCACCGTGCAGGTCGTTGTCGCCGTCCTCGAAGAGGAGCAGAGCAAACCCAAGAAGACGTGGTAGAGATGCCTCGATACGCACTCGCCCCCCAGGCCCCCCTCAGTAGTGAGCCTCCGGATGGATTCTTCTGCTCTGCGCGAAACGTCCTCCGTGAAAAACGATCACGGCATGGGCCCGCAATTCAGGCGGGAACTCTTTTTCCCAACCCTCCTTGGTTGGGTATTCGTTTTGAATAGAGCAGTGTGGTCGCGTCCCTTCTCCTCCCGCCTCTTCCTGTCTTGCCTGCGGGGGGCTGCGATCTGCGAAACTGTCGCCATTTTCGAGGCCTGCTGGGGGGCCCAGCACAGTGAGGGCCACGCGCGGATTCAAATTAGACCTCGCCATCCCTGGGGGGCTGCGATCTGCGAAACTGTCGCCATTTTCGAGGCCTGCTGGGGGGCCCAGCACAGTGAGGGCCACGCGCGGATTCAAATTAGACCTCGCCATCCCTGGGGGGCTGCGATCTGCGAAACCGTCGCCATTTTCGAGGCTTGCTGGGGGGCCCAGCACAGTGAGGGCCACGCGCGGATTCAAATTCTAGACGCTTCGCGTATCCCCACCAGCCCGTCCAGAAATGAGTCCCAGGGGAGAGGAGGTTATGAGGGAAGCGGGGGAGCATGCAGAAGAACAAAGGGCGGGGTGAGCCGCCATATACCCCAAGAGGGGGAGGATGTAGGAGGAGCCGTCGTCGTCGGAGTAGGAGGAGGAAGAGGAGGAGCAGGAGGAGGAGCAGGAGGAGGAGGAGGAGGAATAGAAGGAGGAGGAGATGGAGGACTGCGAGGACGAGGAGGACGAGAAGGAGGAAAAGGAGAAGGATTTCCTCGGAGGCCCTCGGGGCAGAACTAAAAACAAAACCCTGCCTACCCCGATCGACGGGAGGCAGCTGCGGCTTCTTCCCGCGCACGAATGCGGGCCGCCAGGGCCTCCATGCCAGGAGTTGACACGAGGCGCATTCGGGAGGCCGTCTGTCTACCACTTTGTGTGGCCGCAACCTCCATGACAAAACCAGCAGAGCGACGGCAGGGGTCCGTGACACGATTAACATTGTAAAAGTGCGGGTGGAGCCCCTGCTTGATACGGGATAAGGTCTGGGATCTCGTGCCCAGCTTTCCACAGCACCGCGTCGCCAGCAAAACACACCTCCTCGAAGAGTAGGCCCCACACCTATAGCAAAACACTAAAGGTTCCTGAGCTACGTTGTCAATCATTGAGCACGCTAAGAGGTGCCCCCGTTCTTCGGCATCCTTAAGATTCCGAAAAGCAGTGGGGACCCCCTTGCACCCTACCATCGATCTGTCCTGGTCCCAGGTGATCGAGAAACACTTGGTGCACCTCCATGCTACTCCCGCGTCGATCTCGCACCAGTCGTGCCAACTCGGATCTCTGACAGCCGCCGTGGTCCGAGGGCCTCTGGCAGAGCGACGGAAATCCATCTTGGGGTAGCAGGAGAGCACTGCGTCAAACATTCGAACTAAAACTTTCACACGCTTCACGCACACGTCCAGCGCCTCGAGGTCTTCAGACGGGGCCCCTGGGTGAAGTGTCAGTGCATGCTTGGCTAGCCTATCAGCATCAGCATTCCCCAGTGCAATGCGACGCTCCAAAATCGGCAAAGCCAAAATGACCTCCTCAGACCTATGGGCGGGGGTGTAGGACGCAGGCCCAAGACAGCCCTGAGGGTCAGATTCTATAGCAAGCCTCCTAAGGCCAGCAAACATCTGCTTAGGGCAAAGCTGTTCCCTACGAGTCGCATTGTGCAACTTGACGGCCCCAGAGCAGTCACTGTGAGGTGTGACAGGGTGATCAATGACACAGCTGAGCATGGCTATGCCAAGATGCTCCGCCGACTGCGGGGTCTGAAAAAGGGTGGGCCATACTGTGCCCATCATCCTTGCCTGAATCTTGTATTCGGGGCCAGGTGCTAAGAACACAGCCCCGAACGCAGCCCGTTGGAGCTCCTTAAACACCTGCTGAGTCGCTGAGCCGTCAACCACGGGCTCGCACCCACGGGTCAGCTCAAGAAAATCTTCAACACTGATTTCCTGGCCCTCGGAGTCCTGAAAAATCGGTTCGAGGTTCCAGGACGGGCCAGGGACCACCGGCTGAGGCAAAATGAGCCTCGTCCAGAACAACAGCTCCTGAGGGTCGGCAGCTTTCACCTGATCAATCAGCTCCTGACTAACATACTCGAGCCTCTGTTCAGCTACACTCGGACAGAGCCATTGCCGATGGAACAGGGAGTCGGGTTCCCTACACAAAGGACAGTCCCCCCCGTGGTCGTACCCGCACGCTTTCATCCGATCTCCCGTCCAACAGGCACCTGAAAAAACAGCCGAAAGCCAATATTTTTGTCTGGCCGTGGTCTTACGTGAACGAAACAACTTGGCGACAGGGTCTGGGCAGACTCTGACCTCGTTGAAATCGTCTAAATCGGTGGCCATCTTGCGCTCAAGGGCTCTCTGCACGCCAGCCTCGAGCTGCTTGGCCACTAAAGCTGGGGAGGTGTACATTAAATCAACGACGCGATCGCGGTCATCTTTCCGCAGCGCAAAATTATCAGCACGCCACCCGATACGATGGAGGGAGAGGAGCATTCTGTGCACAGGGCCTCTAGACTTACGCCAGACAGTAGGGCCTAGCTCAGGAGAGGAACTCGATATTGTGCGCCATATCCGAATATGGTCCCGAAACGAGAAGTGGGAAACCTTGGGCTCCGTGAGGCTCTGCCAGAGGCTGTTCGACCACTGAAGCGCTGGGGCCACCGCCTGACGCCACGCTGGGTCTCCATGAAGCACACACTTCGCTGTCAAGCTTGCTCCCCGATGGGCAGGGGACTTGCCTGACATCAGCACTGAACGTAAAGAGGCCAATTCATGATCAGAAACTCCTAGGACCATGCTGCCGAAGCCTGCTGCTGGCCGTACTCCTGCAACATATATCTTGTTAATCCGCGTACGGTCCCTTGGAAGCTTCTTCTTATAGTGCTGGAGTAGCCGGCTTCGAATTCGCATGTCGTGAAACCGTTGCCGCCGCCGAGCTCTAGCCTTCTTGGCCGATAACCCCTGTCCAGGTGCTAGGTCCACCCCCAGCGACACCGTGGAGTTCGTGGCCGAGGAAGGGCATATTGGCTGGAGTCGCCTGCGGAGCTTGGAAGCTATCCTGCTGGAAGACGAAAAAGATACTGCTTTGTCTTCCGCAAGTCGAACACCTAAACGTGTCTGAAAAACCCACTTCAAATCTTTCGCAGCTTTAACCAAGTCGTGCATAATAACACTTTCGGGACCATGGGCCGAAACCGTGTCATCATCGACGTACGATCCCAGACTGACCCCAGGATTTCGGCTAGACCAGCGATCAAACTCGAACATCGCGTAAACCTTCACGAAAACATCATTGAACATGTCCCCAGCTGGTAACCCGTTTTGCGCAAACTGTATAAGCGGGCAGTGATGAGCTCCCAGACGGAGTACCCTCGGGGACCTCCAGAGGTTGTACAGGACTTTTATGAGAACCGTGGGTATACGCCAGTACATGGCACGATCCCTCAGCCACATGAGCCGAAAGGACTCGTAGTACTTCATACCATCCCAAATGAAACCTGCCGTATAATCGCCCTTTTCGGAGGTCTCCTCGGCTCTCACACTTTGTTGCCATATCGACACTTCAGCAGACTGCCCCGCGCCAAAAGACCAGTAGGGCCGTTGGGCCCGATCCAGGAAGGAATCCGCTTGCGGTCTCCGAAGTCGCTCCCAAACTCGAACAAAGGAACCCAGAAGCAGAATCGGCCTGAGACCTCCTTTGGGCTTCTCCAGTAAAGGTAGCAGCATCCACAATAGCTGCGCGGGGAAAAGGCCCAGCCGCTCCACGGCCTCGTAGAGCACGGCCAGGCACGTGAGACCCTCGTCGGAGAGGGCGCCAACATGCCGAGGGTGAAATCCATCTAAGCTCTGGGCCGTATGGCGGCTGAAGCTCAGAGACGCTTTCCGAAGTTCATCAACGCTGGCCCGAGGGAAACATTGACGATCAGGAATCCAGGCTTCGGGTGGCTTCAAGTTCGCTCCCCAAAATCTTCCCAGGGTCTGAGCTTCATCCTCCAGAAGGGCATGCGGATCTGCGGTGAACACTCCAGGCGCACTCTGGATAACCGTCGGCTGCCAAACCTTTTTTAGCTTCGTAAAACGATGCATAATACGAGCTGAGCCAGCAAGGGCCCGTTCCTGCCAGAGATCCCACGACTCCCGCTGGATGCGATCCCCATCCAAACCAGCTTGCTCATAATCCTCACGAACATCCTCTAAAAGCTGCTGCGCTAGCTCAAGCCACTCCTGCCTATGGAAGCCGCTGTGGTGTTGCCAGCTCCTCGCCAGCGTGCGCATGGCACGGAGGGAGGCGTCCAGGCGCACAGACAGGCCTTCGCCAGGGCAGGAGTCCTGGAGCGATACCTGAAGCTGGATGCAACACTGGACGGCGTCCTTCGTCGCATCTTGCACCGTCAGGGTAAATTCTTGAAAAGACTGGTACAGCCACCTCCAGCCAGCAGCGATCTGGAGCTTATCCTCAGGATCCTTCGGGCGATAGAAAACCGAAACCCAAGATGATTTGATCGTTCGCGAACGCTCACCCAACTCCTTCGGCTCGAAACCTAACGTTCGGGTAAGCTCCAGCTCGGCGACGTCCACAAAATGCGCCCATGCATTATTCAAAACCCTCCAGGCCGCCGTGGCCTTCTCGTGCATGGCCCAAGCCGCTGCCTGTGCAGCATGAGCAAGAGCGCCTTGCCACGCTGGTGGTTGAGGCCGCGGACCAAAAGGCACATCGACAGGTAGGCGCTGATAGCTACGGTACACTAGCTGCCTGAGGGAAAGAGCATCTGCACGCACCTTGAGCTGGACGGGTCTGTGGGGCTTGACATCCCAGGACATGACAGCTGCAACTCCAGAAATCAACCTAGACAAACCAGGGCCCATGACGAAGAAATCTATAATTGTGTTCGTAGACGGGGCACGACACGTATGCTCAATCGGCGCCAGGACCAGCATCCCCAATTTGCGTGGAACGCCAGAGGCCTCCAGAACCTGTGGGGTGAGGTTCCAGTCGCCCGCCAGGTTCGTATGAGTTGGGTCGTTCACCTCTGCTTACCTATCTTAGCGATCATCTGCACATTGGCCTCGCTGAGGCCCTCCGAAGTCTTCAGGTAGACCGAGAAAACCGTAACCGTAGGCCACCCAGGGAAATCCACCAGGACCTTGATAGCTCGACCAGGAACCACAGGGCCAGGACCTTCTGGAGGCCATCGTAAACCAATGCTGAGCCGAGCGAAGACGGCGACACCACACGAGACCTTGCCTGTCTCTGGGTTCAAGAACGAGGGGCCGAACAGGGCGTGGAAACCGAGCGAGCGCGCCGAGGCCGTAGCTTGTCCCAGGAAGGAAACACTGATGCCTATCTCCTGGGCACATACAATCACCGTCGACGTCTCACGTAACCTTCTCCGAAGCGTCTTCCAACACGAACCGTTGAAAGTCTCAATGAAAAACGGGTCCCCTCTGGCTGCCTTTGGGCCTCCCCGCAGAGGTGGCACAGGTACTCCAGCGGAGGACAGGGGAATGCCTGACAAAAGGGGCGCACGGCAGCGGTGTAGTGCGTCACCCGCACCGCTGCTTCTTCGCCCTGATGCCGAACTGCTTGAGCAGCTCAGAGACCTCCTTCTCGTGGTCGGAGCCCTCCTTCCGCGCCGCTGCGATGACCTGCTGCACCTTCTCCTCGGAGAGCTCCTCCATGTCAACGTCATCATCCCCAGCGCTGACCTCAGCCGCTTCGGGAGCAGCTCCTGGTACCGCACCATGTACGCCATCAGGGGCCCGAGGCGCGGCCTGCTGCTGGTCCCGCGCAGCAGCCGCCTTGGCCGCGTAGAGCTCCTTGAACTTGGCAAACTCAGGAGAGGCCAGCATCGTCTTGACCCCCTCAGCCTCAGGGCCCTCCAGCACAGTCGGGTCCAACTCAAGGTCGACCTCCACCTGCTGCTCAGGGGCTGAGGGCGCCACCTGCTGCATCGCGGCCTGCAGCTCAATCTTGAGTGCGTCGATGTCCACGCGCAGGCTGCGCTGTCGTTCATTGAGCTCCGCCAGCGTCCGCTGGGCCTGCTCCACGACCTTGTTCTGCTCCGCAATAGACTTGTCGAGAGCCTCGAACTTCTTCTGCTTATCCGCCAGCTTGTGACCCAAAGTGGTGGCTCGGGACAACACTGGCTTCTTGGACTGTACCTCCGCCCGCGCCACCTTGAGTTCGCTCTCCACGATCTCGATAGCTGACGCTGGTACTCCATCACACTTGCGAAGGGCTTGCAATGACTCCTCCAAGTGCTGCACTTTAACACGTAGCTTGTCGTCGTCCGAAGGCGGTGCGTCTTGAGCTTCAGCACCACCGCCTCCAGCCTGGGCCGAGCCGCCGCCTCCGCCTCCGTTGGCCGCGGCACCCGCGGGAGGGGAAGACTTGGCTGCGACCTTCTCCATGATGCGCTTCTCCATTGCTGCCAGCTGTCCCGACAGATCGGCTGGGGGGCCCTTGGCCCACGCACCGCGAGGGCCGCGAGGCTGCCCAGGAGGAACGCCAGGAGGAGCACGAGCTGATGAGCCAAGGGCGGCAGCGGCAGTGCGCGCGAAGACACCGTATCCGACAAGCGAAATTTTGGTTCCTGCCACAACTCGGACACCCCCAGAAGGGCGATCGGGGCCCTGGGAGTACATCCACCTCATCGCGGCGAGCCATGCACAGCACAGCTCGTCTCAAGAAAGCTTGCTCCAGCAGGAGCTCACAAAGTAGATTCCGAGCCACAAAGACCCGCAGGAGCGGCTGCCGCTCTGAAGACAGCTCCTGCAAGCCCAAAAACTTGGGCCAGAACGGCTGGAAAAGGAGAAGGAGGAGGAGGAGGAGGAGGAGGAGGAGGAGGGGGAGGGGGAGGGGGAGGGGGAGGAGGAAGAAAAAGAGAAGGAGGAGGAGGAGGAGGAGGAGGAGGAGGACAATTGCGAGCTTGGGGGCCTCTTGGGCCGTCCTTGGGGCCTTTTGGCGGTCCCGGGGGCCTCTTGCGTATCTCGGGGAGCCTCTTGTGGCCTCTTGGGGGTCTCTTGGGGGCCTCTTGGAGGCCTCTTGGGGGCCTCTTGGGGCCTCTTGGGGCCCTCTTGGGGCGCTCTTGGGGCGCTCTTGGGAGCCTTCGAGGCGCTCTTGGGGCCATCTTGGAGGAGATCTATCAAAGAAGGGGGGGTCCCCAATTAGCGCTGCCCCTCTAGAGTGCCTCGAGTCGCCTCTTGGGCCCCCCCAAGAGGCCAAAATCCTTCCAAAACCTAGGTAAAATCAATGTTTTTTGTTTTCTCGCCTTTTCGCTCTTGGACCCGTCTTGGGAGCCTCTTGGGCCTCTTGGGGGTCTCTTGGGGGCCTCTTGGAGGCCTCTTGGGGGCCTCTTGGGGCCTCTTGGGGCTCTCTTGGGGCGCTCTTGGGGCGCTCTTGGGAGCCTTCGAGGCGCTCTTGGGGCCATCTTGGAGGAGATCTATCAAAGAAGGGGGGTTCCCCAATTAGCGCTGCCCCTCTAGAGTGCCTCGAGTCGCCTCTTGGGCGCCCCAAGAGGCCAAAATCCTTCCAAAACCTAGGTAAAATCAATGTTTGTTGCTTTCTCGCCTTTTCGCTCTTGGAGCCGTCTTGGGTCATCTTGGACTCTCTTGGGGCCTCTTGGGGGTCTCTTGGCAACGTCTTGGAGGCTTCTTGGGGGCCTCTTGGGGTCTCTTTGGGCCCTCTTGAGGCGCTCTTGGGGCGCTCTTGGGAGCCTTCGGGGCGCTCTTTGGGCCATCTTGGAGGAGATCTATCAAAGAAGGGGGGGGTGCTTATTAGCCCCGCCCCTCCAGAGTGCCTCGAGTCGCCTCTTGGGCCCCCCCAAGATGCCAAAATCCTTCCAAAACCTAGGTAAAATCAATGTTTTGTGTTTTCTCGCCTGTTCGCTCTTGGAGCTGTCTTGGGCCATCTTGGACGCTCTGACACCTCGCGACCGGCCCCGTCCAGGTCAGTGGGGAGGGGTAAGGGGAGGGGTAAACCCCTCCCCGAAGGGGAAGAAGGGGGTTGGCAGAGGAAACTCCCTAGACCACCTACGCCCTAAAGGGCTGGTGGGATTAGACCTCGCCATCCCTGGGGGGCTGCGATCTGCGAAACTGTCGCCATTTTCGAGGCCTGCTGGGGGGCCCAGCACAGTGAGGGCCACGCGCGGATTCAAATTAGACCTCGCCATCCCTGGGGGGCTGCGATCTGCGAAACTGTCGCCACTTTCGAGGCCTGCTGGGGGGCCCAGCACAGTGAGGGCCACGCGCGGATTCAAATTAGACCTCGCCATCCCTGGGGGGCTGCGATCTGCGAAACTGTCGCCATTTTCGAGGCCTGCTGGGGGGCCCAGCACAGTGAGGGCCACGCGCGGATTCAAATTAGACCTCGCCATCCCTGGGGGGCTGCGATCTGCGAAACTGTCGCCATCGAGGCCTGCTGGGGGGCCCAGCACAGTGCGCCTGGGGGGCTGCGATCTGCGAAACTGTCGCCATTTTCGAGGCCTGCTGGGGGGCCCAGCACAGTGAGGGCCACGCGCGGATTCAAATTAGACCTCGCCATCCCTGGGGGGCTGCGATCTGCGAAACTGTCGCCATTTTCGAGGCCTGCTGGGGGGCCCAGCACAGTGAGGGCCACGCGCGGATTCAAATTAGACCTCGCCATCCCTGGGGGGCTGCGATCTGCGAAACTGTCGCCATTTTCGAGGCCTGCTGGGGGGCCCAGCACAGTGAGGGCCACGCGCGGATTCAAATTAGACCTCGCCATCCCTGGGGGGCTGCGATCTGCGAAACTGTCGCCATTTTCGAGGCCTGCTGGGGGGCCCAGCACAGTGAGGGCCACGCGCGGATTCAAATTAGACCTCGCCATCCCTGGGGGGCTGCGATCTGCGAAACTGCCGCCATTTTCGAGGCCTGCTGGGGGGCCCAGCACAGTGAGGGCCACGGGCAGATTCAAATGAGACCTCGCCATCCCTGCGGGGCTGCGATCTGTGAACCTGTCGCCACTTTCGAGGCCTGCTGTGATCCCCGTTTTCGAAGTGGCTAGGAGTGCTCAGGAATTGTAAATCATCAGCTTTATCAAGCCCTTTTCCTGTAGCCAGTGTCCTGCGAGTCTCCCGAATTCCGTCTGCAGACATATGTAACCCTCGCTCCGTCATCGCCCCCTTATAAAGTATCCTAAACTATTTGCGCCCCGCTTTTGCGCAGGGGTTGGGTACGTCGCCAGGGTAATTTGACAGGCATCGCCTTGCATCCGTGTGACAAGGTGGGGCCAGATAGTGTAAGGAAATACCACACGACAGCCCCGCTCTGTAAAGGAATAACTCTCCATCCGTGCAGCTTGTGCACACGTCTAATGCGTTGCCGCAAGAGCCACATGTTGTTGAAAGCAGCCGCCCTCCATCCTTGCAGTTGCCTGAGTTGTTTACGACGACTTCTTCGCCACGCCATGCCCGCCCGCCATACGTGTACCTATTAGTTGTGTTTGATGCGAGCGTGCGTGGTGCCAAGGCGGGAGCCCCAGTTTTGAAGACGGGCCGCCCTGCATCCGTGAAGCTGTTGGACACTCCAAGCTTCCAGGTTGTTGGCTGTGGGGAAGTCGGAGGCGAAACGCACGAACCGCCCTACCGGCACGTCGTGTGGGTAGAGGACGAGGGTGAGGAGGAGTCATGCACGATAAAACGGAGGATCTATGTATAATGAGACGGGATTGAGCGGGTGGAGGCATCTCCAATTCTTTGTGGCCGCGGCCTTCCAAGCTTCCAAGTCAAGTCTCTTCGACCGCGCCCCGTGAGTCGGGACCGGCAACGGGCCAGTTTAGTTCAGTTCAGGCAGAGATTCGAAATCCAAGGGAGGATCGATGATCCTGGTCCACCCATCCACCCATCGGTCGTTGAGAGTATGTATTGTGGAGTGCCAGATTCCACTCTATTTCGAGCGCCACGCCTGTTTTGTCGCGGCCAAGATAAGACAGCGAAGACAATCCTCAAGGGCAGAAGCTTCCACAACGACTGAAGCATCCTCACAACCTGGGCGCTGAGAATGGAGTGCCCCCCCCCCCCGGGCGGTTACCCTTTGGGGTGCCCAGGTGCCCCTCCTGATGCCGCGGTGAGCCTCGGACCGCCGCCCGAAAGAAGCTTGGAGGGGGGGGGGGACAAAACACAGGCAGCTCGCCTGAGGCGTTCCCACACTGTGGGCGCGGAGAACGGATTGGCCCCAGCCCTGGCGGCTCCCAGGTGGGGTGCCCGAGTGCCATTATCGCGGTGATCACTGGGGCCGTCGAGGAGAGAAGCGTGGGGGGGCCAGCGAAGGATGCTTGAGACATTCCCACGCTCGGGGCGCCACGAGTGGAGCGTGCCTACACCTGGCGGCTCCTCCTTGGGGCACCCAAGAGCCACGCCTGCTAGGTCGCGGTGAGCACTGGACCACCGACGGATAGACGGCTTGAGGGCCGAAGCGTGCAAACCGCCCGAGAGATCCCCACAGTCTGAGCGCGAAGGATGGAGTGGCCCCCACCCTCCCCTGGCGGGTCCCCCTCGGGCTACCCAAATGCAAATGCCACGCTTGCTAGATCTGAGAGTGAGTGGGTCTGAGTGTGATTTGAGTCCGGATACGGTTGAGTCTGAGCATGATTGGGTCTCAGTGTGACCGAGTCCGAGTAAGAGTAAGGCTGGGCGTGATGACAACGTAACGGAAAGTCCTTGTATGAGTCGTCCGAGTGCGAGTGCGTCAGGGCACGAGTGAGTCTTTATCTGAGTGAGTGTTGGTATGGGTGTGTCTGAGTATGAGTGAAGCTGAGTGGGTATATCTGAATTGAGCGAAAGAGGAGGAGCAGGAAGGCACGATGATGAGACGATGGGAGTGAAGTGAGTAATTGAGAAGGTGGAGGCGCCACCGGAACATCTGTACCCCCATCTCAGCAGATGGAGAATACCAGGTTTTTGATGACCCTTTCGGATTAGAGCTACGAGGCGAGGACCCGTGTTCACGTTTTACATTTCCCATCACTCCTAACACACGCACAAGATTTCCGCTCGGGACTTCTTTGAAATTCCTCGCCCTCAGAAGCTCAAAGGTGACGACATCCATTCGTTGCAGATGACCCCCTCGGACTAGTAAGAGGAAGTAAGGTGGGCGGCATGCTGAGGGGGCTTCCGTGTTCAGTGTCCTCGCAAGTCTCTCACTGACGAGGTTCCCGCACGAGGTGTTTGGCATATTAAGGCTGCAGGAGCTCAAACGTGACGACAGTTTACGTTGCATCTTCGGGGTACCTCGTCTGCTCCCACAACTTTTGTGTTGTTTCTTGTGCCCGGCGCGGATTCGATGCAGATTCGAAGTGGGTTAAGCGTAGATTCGACGCAGACTCGACGTGGATTCGACGCGGATTCGACGAGGCCGACATGGATTCGACACGGATTCGACGCAGTTAGGGACGCGACGGGACAGAC